TCTTGCAATTCTAAACTCTTTCTGTCTGATCTTATGAGACAAGAATGTTATCACCCAACTGGCACTTGTCCTTGTTTAAGTAAGCTTTACTCCCCACTCCTTTATTTTGCTCCATTTAATTTTTAACAACTTATCTCTTTGAATCCATAGAGGGCAAGCCTTTCCACACTGATAATGTGGCTATCTTGTAGATGAGATCAAGGCTTCAAATTCTGAAAATTGTCCCTCCTCTCAACCGGGTAAGGTTGTGTAAATCTATCCTCTCCAGACCTTAATTAGTGGGAGTCTTGTGCATTAGGTTGCCCTTTTTAGTATATCTGTGCTTCCATTTTTTTTTTCCCATTCATAGGGACGAGGATAGAGTTCGGATATAAGACTCTGTACATACTACTTCAACTCTTGAACCTAAGACCGTTTTTTGTATATCTGTGCTTCCATTGTTTTATGTGTTCCTTGCTTTCTTCTCTTGGCCCTTCTGGCTATTCAGAAACCAGTGCCACTTTTAATTTCAACCTTTCATTTTAATTGTGCCTACAAATATACCGACTTTTGTCTATGACCAAATTTTTTAGCAGTAGATGATATCACACCGTTTAAACTTTAATCAAGTGCATTACTGAGCGAGGTTTGGTTCGTTTATCGGTGAAAACTCTGAGTTGCAGGTATCACATTGAATCATTGTGATCAATTGTCTCCTTTTGCAATGTGTCTCCATTGTAGTTGTGTGAGGTGGTGATACACTAGGTCTTTTCTCACATTATTGCGTGTTGCGTTGTATTTGTTAGTTTTCTGTGTGTAATTTAATTGGAATATGCAGACACTATAAAGGTTTCCTACATTGTCATTCAATTATGAATTGTTATTTAATTGAAAATTGTTGACTTTAGAATAATTATTTTAAAAATCACATTTAAGATGATTTCTAATCGACAGTGTATAAAAAATGAAACTCAGTGATGTGTCTACTGCCAACCTTGTTAAATTTGTACGGCTTAAATATGTTTATTCCCATGAAAAATTACACATTTCTTTCTTATTTTAGTTTTTATAAAAAAAAAATTATTTGGTAACTAATTATATTAAACTACATATTTTTAGCTATTGCTAATGCGCCGTAAAAAACTTGATTGCAGAGTTTAAAATGGAGAAATTTTTTAATTAAATATGCATACTATGGTCGAATTATACTTTTTTTTATAAAAAAAAAAGATTGTAGTGTATATTGTGAATTATATTTTTGATATTTGATATACTTTTTTGGAATGTTGGAATTAAACTTAATTCAAAAAGGGTAAAAAGGAATACGGTAAAAGAAAATGAACTTTAGAAGGATCAATGGGAAAAATAAATAAAGTGGACAATTTGGTAACAAAAAATGTTTACCGGAGAGTTCATTAGAAAAATATAATAAAAATGAGAGCACAGATAAGAATTTTTATTAACTAATTAATAAATACTTTAGTTTTATTTTGGTATAATAATTGGCACAGAAAATGATTATAATATTATATTGTTTTAAACTTTAACATGTATCAAGCTTCTACTTGATTGGATACTACTATATTGCAGAAGTGTTATTAATTAGTACTTCCAGTAATTTGTACAAGAAATAAGCGAGTGTATTTTTTTAAATTATATAAATAGGCTTTTTTAAATATATTATTTGTCAAAATTTCTTTATATTTTTTAACTTATTATAAAATCTATTTACAAGACGAGACACTGGCTCATTTTTTTTTTTTTTTTTATATATATAAGTAGATGCTAATATGCTATATAGTTTAAATTAAATTTGATTTGCAATCATTTTGACTTTTCAAAACTCGCTGTATTTATTGGTAAAAAAAACGAGTAATGTCATTAAATTAAAAATATATATATATATCTTAAATCATTTAATTTTGTATTTTTAAGAGTGAAATTTAAATTTATGTCATTATTAATAATACTAATTAATTTAACTATTCTTTTTTTATGAAACTAATGCTTTAGTTATTTATTTTATACAAAATACCAAAAGTAGTGAGTAAAACGAAATGACACCATTATCGAGAATTATTTTACTAAGGAGCATCCCATCCCTACTATCTTTTTTACTATGGATAAAAAATCATTGTGAGAGATAAGTAGCGTTTTATAGATACACGCAATTTTTCTATTAAGAAAAAAGTGTTAGTCCTTGTTTTTTCCACTATTTGATTTTAGTTTTTTTTTCAAAAAACAAATCTACACTATTTAATAATTATGTTTTCATCTAAAATCTATTAAATTTTGTATATTATTTTCAGAAAAAATGTTTGAAAATAAAAAATAGAAATATATTCATAATTTCAAAAACTAAAACAAAATTTAAAAATAGAAATCAAACACACCTTTATTATATGATTTATATCACTTTATAACCCAATCATGTTATTAAAGTCATCCTTTGTACATTTATCTCAATATAATTCCCTATGACTAGGGGTGGAAGACTAAGTTAAACTTTGGTAAGTTTAAGCCTAATTTGGCTCAAAATTACAAAGCTTGAGACCATCTTTTAATTTGTTATAGGTCAATTTTTAAGATCTATCTTGACATGTTTGAAGGAATGACCTGACCTAAAAACTTGCATATGTGATGTTTTATGTAAAGCTTATAAATAAGGCAATATAAATATGTTAACGAGCCTTTAAAACCATTGTTATAATTTTATGTTTTTATATTATTATTATTAGGTGAAATTATAGTGTATATATATGCATGAGTATAAAGAGTGAGTTTTTGTGAGAACACTTATGCAAGAACTAATAAACTTCTACGTTTAATTTTGATCAAAAAGATTGTTGTGTTTGTGTAAAAGATTAATGGGAGACACTACACAACACAGAGAGGGTCATCGAATGTAACACCAAGTCCAATGATTATTATCCTAGCCCGTTAAAATATTATTATTCATTTTTGTTTTGTTTGTTTTTGGGGTTGAAATTCCAAAAACAAAGCATAGAAGGTTCAGTAGCAAGTCTGTTAAGAAAAATAATTCAAAACTTTAAATTCAAATATCTAAAATATTATTTAGATTTTAAAAGATATTATTCTTTTAGAATATTGTTTAGAATTGAAATATATTATATTTATTTTAGATATTTATTTCTTTTTTTAAGATTGTGATGTTAGGTCAATAAATAGAGACTCTTGAGATAAGAAGAATTACCTGACTTATAGAGGGGATCACCACTTTAAATGTGAGAGGAGGTCATATGAAGGAGAGTTTCCAAGTTTTGTCAGAAAATTTGTGAATGAAGGTTTTCAAGTTTTGTCAGAAAATTTATGAGGAAGGGGTTTCCAAGTTTCACTCATAAAACTTGTGAGAAATGAATTTTTAAGTTTAATCCACAAAACTTGAAAGAAGGATTTTCAGATATATGCATTATATTTTGAGATAAATAATGATTATCCTTGTGGATGTAGATATGAGAGACTGAATCAGGTTAAATAAATTTATGTAATCTTTTCCTATTTTACTTATGATATTATTTTAACATGTTTTTCATCATCATGTGTAAAAGAAAAGAAAAAAATTTTGTTCCCAACAAAGTCTTGGAGATTTGTTTACACCAGCTTAGCATGCTTGTTTCTTCCCCCTCACATGCAATGCCACAAATGATGGATACCCACACTAAAATACGCATCGGGTTTTGTTTCAGAAGAAAGGAAAATTGATATTGCATGCACCAATGCTAGGCCCATTGGTCACAGTCAACTTCGTCATTCACAATGTTTAACATCTTTTCGAATTTCACAAGGGAAAGAAACATGGAGAGTAAGAGACACTCACCCCCTCGTATCATCCCAAAAATCAAAGTAAGCTTAATTATCCTTTTGAATTCTAAATTGATTTTTTCAGGCACCTTAAATGTTACTGAACATGTCGTGTGAGAGGATAAAAAAATATTAATATAATAGGTGACATTAATATTAAGATAAGAAAAAAATAATGAGAAGTATGATGAGATATTTAAAAATATTGAGTATTTAAAGATCATAACTCTTTTGAATTTAAAGATAGTAAGATACTGCACCGCTTCTTAGATTTACATCATCCCTACGCGAAAGTCAAAGTAAACTCTCTAATTTCTTAGTGAAAAATAAAATATTTATGGCGAAAAACATGTTATATAAGCAAAGCACGTGGAGCCTGTAAATAAAGTAAAACCCCTGAAATAAAATATTTTTTTTACAGGAATTTTTTTTTATTCATATAGTTATCTACTTATTCATACTTTACGGTTTTGGTCGTATAAAATATGTACAAATTGTAAGTTTTGTTTTTTAAAGAATCAATTTAACATATTTTGGTCTCTAATACTATTACTAACATTGTTATTAAGAGTACCGCTAAAAGTTTTTTGACATGTTAAATTGTAGAAAATTTTTTTTAGCAACAATAATATTACAAGAAAATTTTATATAAAGTGATATATAAAAAAATATTATTATAGATATAATATATGTATATATGTGAATCTATTTAATATATATATATATATATATATATATATATATATATATATATATGTGTGATTATGATTATTTATCGTAAAATTATTACATATAAA